GTTGGCCACCATGTGATGAGTTCGTCAACAAACAAAACAGAACAAAGTCTATATTTATGCAGCTGCTGAGAAATTACAAGGTTTAAACAACACTTTCTTCTTATCTCGGGATAGGAAAAGAATATGAAATCAACAGAAAGGCTCTTTTTCTATGATATGGGGGGGGGGGGAGTGAATCTCAAATACAAAAACCTACACTTGCTTATTCTACTAATAAGCAAATCCATTCCTATCTGGGATCATTGGCTTCGAATGGTGCAAACAGCGATGTAAACAGCAAAATAACGAGTAATTACTGCAAAAACTTCACAAGTTATTCAACAAGAACTGCCAACTGATTTCCATCAGATCTGGGCACCAGCATGCAAACATTAATCTTAATCTGGCTTTATCTTCTTTTAGCAATCAGACGTAACACAGAGCCTGAAGTCGGGGGATAAAACCATGATCTATTTTCAAACTAAAAGTCAAGATTACCCAGCTGTTAGCACTTCTTGATTGTTTTCACTTTGTGGAGTGGATCAAAATGAAAAACACCTCCAACAAAAACTCAGCTAAAATATGCAGCAGATCCCAAAGGAAGTATTCAGCGAGATTTGACTACAGTCAAATCTTTTTAGAACATTCTGACAAATGTGCTAGAAAAAGGATGAAGTGATTAATCGAAGATGTTTAATAGCCAGAAAACAGTATGGCGTGTGCAGCATTGCAAAAACAACTCCAAGTGACCTCCCCTTTGACAGGTTCAATAGAGTAATCCAAGTGCTATTACCTGTTGAATTTGGATGAAGGCTGTTAAATGTCTGAGCCAGATGTTGTCAGTGATGGTACGGTCTCGTTCAAAAAGTCAGTCAAACATGCAGGCAACTCAGGAATTTAATATCTGCAGCCTTTAAGGCACATTTCACTTACAGGGATTTGGCTTTTTAACATTAGAGAGATCACAGTGTCATAACTTTGAGATTTACCACTGTACTGGCTTGATCAAGGATCACTTAAATGCATGAATTTAAAAACCAAACCCAAAAAAAAATTATTTAAAAGTCATTCTGTTGAAGGTACATAAATAGTTTGTTTTGCCAGTGACTAATCAATCATGCTAGACAGGCTTAACGTTAAAAAAATGCTTTTAAGTTGTTCCATACATTTATGTTTCACTGATTCCTCAATATTTGAAATGATAAGTTTCCAAAATGAAACTCCCGCACATTGCAAAAAATGTTTTAAGCAACATTTGTTGGCAGAGAGGAATGTTTTATTGTTGTATTCTGATTGTTTTCCTGTGCAAAGTATTTTCTTTTTGACAAGAAGACAGTCGACATTTTAGGATCACAACACTAACATTTCGATTGGTGATGTGGCGACACACTCCAAAAGGAAAGTCTCCGTCCTATATTTCTAGAAATGTATGGCATTATGAAAATATGACATTGAGATCTTCTGGTTGAATATTTCAGTGATGACAATGATTTTGCCTGACTGTCCTCTTTCTTGTCAATAACAACATTGATCACCATCCTTAAGCCTTAGCTGCTTGGACATTAAGGTCTGCACAAAGTGTGAGAGTAAAAGAAAGTCAAAGACAGATCTATTATTTGGGTAGATACATGACTCCTAAACCATCCAAACATCAAACCTCACTGCTTTTTGTCAGTGAAACTGAGGCGACTTACGTCTGAATATTACTCTCAGCATCGTATGAGAAGAGAGTATTTACTAAATAAGAATAATATATTAAAAGTTGTTTGCCCAAATGACTTTTTAAAATGATACACCTTTTTCTCTTAGAATAATAATTATCTGAAATTCAGCTGAGCCTATGAAATATCCCCTTTTTGGTACAAACTAATCATTAAAGAGGCACAGTTGTTGAAACGTCTCAGTTTGCTGCAGGGCTCTTGGTTTTGTGGTTCCTGAATGGATCTGGTGAATAATGGATTACCAAAACTGTTTTCCACTGGCCGATAAACCGTGCAATAAAACAAACCCCTGGCGAAATATGGCTCATGACTAGTCATTGACCAACATGCAGAGTTCCTGTAATGATATTTCAAAATTCACTACTTTTCTCCAGCTCCATTTTCAGCTTTTTCCAGTGTTTTCTATGACATCATCCACATGCAAGTGCAAACCATGTGTCTACTCAAATAAAATACAGATTGAGCAAAGCATGGTTTGTGATGAATAACTCGTTCATTTCCTGGAAGTAGAAATTCCAAATTGTTGCTTTGATTCTTAGCTGAGGCTTAAGTTCGGTTTTAAAAATATAAAATATCTGGAAGCCAAACTGCACTAACGTTTGCCCTTTTTGGTTTTAGACCAAGTCTATTTCTTTATCCACTGCAACATAACAAAGAAATGTTGTAGTGGTATCTCAGAGGAACTATAAATTGGTCGATGACTTGGACAAAAACTCAAATTTTGATGTGTTAAACTAAAATTATACCTGGTCATTCAAAAAGAAAGCAATGTAAAAGGTTGATGTTTCTATAAATTCAGCATTTTATCATCTTAAATAAGATATAAAGTCTGGAACTTGAGACTTCCTTTCATACTAAATTTAAATTTGTCCACAATTATCCAAATTTGGAAAAGGATTGAATCTGATTACATACTTTTAATGAATTTTTAGGGCCGTCTCCTATTTAAGGACTACCTTATGGAATAAATTAAAAAAAATAAAATAAAAAAAATACAATATGACAATTTTGGCCAAAAATATTAAAAGGTTACATTTGAAACAGCTTGCCTACTAAAGGACCACTACGAAGGGTGACGGCTGGTGCTTCTTTAGTTTCCAATCCTTGACTTTCAGTTCGTTTCACCACTAGAAAAAACATTTCTAAAAGCCACTTTTTTTAACATTAGAGGCAAAATACAGCAAAAGATGGGAGAGGGTCAGCACAGAGGTACTCTACGCTCTGTACAGCTTGAAAAAAACTCTGTATTTACTCTGACATGTCATTACGGCGATTTTAAACCATAGAAACAGTAGGATGACTGTTTAGCAGTTTTTAAAGAATGGCTTTTCATAACCTCAGAAGTAGCAAAGTAAGAAATCCACACACTTAACGTTGAGTCTTTTTAAGTAATTGGGGATTTGAACGCAAAAACCAAATTTACTTTGTGACCTGTTGACACTGTAAACTCAACAAGTTTGTGCCAGTATTTGGCGCACGCCGACATGCAGGACGTCAGCATGAGCTCTACACATTTGTTCTTTCTGACAGACTCTCTTGTTTGTTTGTAGGATCCAAAATCCCTAGGAGACGTCACGGTTTGGCGTGGAGAGACAAAACGCGGCTGGCATGAAATGTTAAGCGTCGATGTAAATGTCCGAAGGAAGTGGATTGAAAAGCCCTTCGGCGAGCCTGGAAAACTACTGGTCAAGACCACATGAGAATCGGTCTGCTCGGAAGCAAATCCGAAAGAAAAGAGGGAGGTCGCTCAAAAGTCATGCACAGTACAGTTACTATGCATCAACTTCAGTGCACTGATTCTTCTCCTCATTTCACTCCCCTCCCTCACCCATTGCCCCCCCCCCCCCTTTTTTTTTTTCAATCACATCTAAGTTGGATTAATGGTCTCCCTGTGTCCAGATGTTGCATAGTGATGGAGGCAGAGGGTGGAGCCTGCATACTTGTGCAACCTCAGCTACAGCTTACATTCTGAGCAGGCAGAATTTATGGAAGATCTGGTAAAGCAGCAGGCCCCTTCGTGCTCGTTTTTTTTTTTTTTTTTTTGTTGTCGCAGACATGAAGCCTAAGGTGACAGTCATCCAGCAGTTACGCCTTCCTTTCTGGGACGGCACAAACTCAAATTATACGTTGGAACTCCCATCGCATGCAGCCAGGTCATGATCTGGCACTGGGCATGTTTGGTATGAGTTTGTGGCTTCCCATGCACTGAAATGGTGCCACACACACACACACACACACACACACACACACACACACACACACACACACACAAAGAAGAAGAAGAAGAAAAAGAGTGCACTAGTTCAGGAAAAAGAGCAAGCGGGTTAGTTCAACAGGTCTGCAGCGCATTGTCACGGGGGCAACGGTGCATTTGATACCTCATAATTACCAAGAGGGATTCGGGCGCATTAAAGAGCTCCCGGGACGTAAGAGGATAAATACGCGACTATTTATTTCACTCCTCAGCCGAAATACCTGGCTGTCACCAATAAACTGTAATTCCCAGGCAGCCCACAGACACGCATGCACGTCAGGACAAGCCACGCCATTAAGGACCAGGCAGATAAACATTGTTTTCATTTTGCGCCAAGTAACTGAAAACAAACATGAAACCTGATCCGGGAGACGTGTTCCCGCATCCGCTTTTTTTTTTTTTTTTTTGGGATAAGGATGCAAAACAATTTTTTTTTCTTTCCTCTTTTTGTTTTATTTTATTTTATTAATTATTTTGGGAGCGTAAAAGCAGCAGGTTGGTTTGACTGGTTGCAACCAACCGTAGCTGTAAAGAAGATGGAGTTTTTTTGTTTGTTTGTTTGCTTTTTTTCAGGAAGGGGATTTTAACAGCAAATCAAAATTTGCAAAAACAAAAAAAAAATCGGGTTGTTTTTGTCTGTAAATAGGTCGATGAGGAATGAGCTGCGATGGTACCTGCTTGAATATTCAGTGAATAACCTCACTGTCTGCCGTCCTCACATGGAGGCCCCCCTTTTTTCTGTCTGTTCAGACTGAAGCCACTACAAACGCAAGGCAGATTTTCAGGCCAAAATAAACCTAAATGTACCAAACTCTCTCTGGGGAAAGAAAAACAAAAACTCCCCACTTCAAAAGAGCCTTCATAGCAAAAGAAAAACTGTATTTATTTTGTTTTTTTGCTTGACTCCAGCTCTGATGACCACATAGGCCTATGCACGGATGTTTCCCCCCCAGCCACTATGATAGACAAAAGTGTCCATTTCTTCTTAAATAAAGATGATAATAATATTTATTTAAAAACACACACACACACAACAGGCTTCTTACCTACGGTGGCACCGTTAGGAGACATGACCTCCAAGCAGAGAATAAATCCCAAGTAGAACAACCTCATCGCCATCTCCTGAGCAATGCCCGATGGCACTGCTGCTAGAACCGAAAAGATGAAAAGTTGGCTGGATTTCTACAACCGAACCGCCTCATCCGAACCGTTCTCTCAATGGTCCGGGGTGCGATCGTGCCTCCAGTTGCACCCACACTGTGGTCTCTCCAGCCGTTTTCTTTTCTTTTTATTATTATTATTATTATTTCTTTGCAATAGTAATTGAAAAAAAAAGAAAGAAAAGAAAAGAGGAGAAGCTACTAGAGCCCGACGAGGCTAAGTGCGATGCAGCTGCACAGTCATGTATATTTCGAACTGATTATCGGCGTTCAAACATGATGCGGAGTGGAAGCTGTGTCTTCTGCGAGCTTGACAAGCGAGTCGTCCGGTTTGCACAAAAGGAGCGCCGCTGCAGCCGCCCGCCCGTCCGAACCGCTCCGTGGCAAACCAGAATCAGAAACGAACATGGAACAAACGCGTTTCTCCCCAACGAGCGCCGACGTCTCCCCGCGCCTCTGGATGCATGAATTGGATGGTCAGCGTCTCCGAGCCCCAGCACAGTGGACGTGCCCGTGACGCAACGCTCGACTCCTTAAAATGGGATCGCTGAGGAGGGACGACACTGCGCATGCCTCCATTACAACTCTTTTTTTTTTTTTTTTTTTTTTTTTTTTGAAGTGTATGGTAATCTGATTTGTCATGTAATAGTGTGACGGCAACGTCAAAGCACATGTTGGTTCTGTTCCACCTGGTGATAGAAAGTCTGCCTTTGTCTCTGTTCTTTAGAGAGCCCTCGTCTCTTCTCTCTCCTCTTAGAGGAGTTGAGCCTTAAGGCTCACAAATAGCTCGATTTAGTTCTACTCAGACGATTTGATTGCATTCAAATTTGGCAGTTGTGCATATTTTTGTGTTGTTAAGCAAATGTTTTATTCAGTATTTTTTATGCAAGCGTTATTCTTTTAGCACCATGTGAGTTTAAAGGCTAAATACCACTGAATTCCAAAAACAGAAACTATAAATAAATAGTTTTAAACGATAGTAAGCAGTTGCGCAATACCTTTCAATTTACAGACAATATTGATTTTTGATTTTAAGAATTCACGTGCTAATATTCGGAGCACATTGCATATTATATATGGACTTTGTCATGAAATTTAAGATCCGGGAAGTTTGATCGTGCAGGAAATGGGGTTGGGAAACATTTGGGCCTGCTGCTCTTGTCTTGCAGCGACAGGCCTTGGGTTTGAATCCCAGTCTCTGAACATTCTGCCTGAAGTTTGTATGTTCTCAGGGAACATATGTGGGTTCTCTCCGGGTACTCAAGCTCCTTCTGACAATCCAAATCCATTCAGGTTAGGTTGTCATAAATACTCGACGTATGTATGCATGTTTGTTTGCCCTTTGTATTTCTGTGTTTGCCAGGTTATCTTGTGGAGATTTGATTGTACTTCAAATATCCATAGTTTAAATTTTGATTAGGATATGGGGGTATTTTCCTTCCATATGAGTAGCTATATAATTTGCTCTAGAAAGGGTTAGGGTGTTTACATAAAAGAAGGAGCTGTTCCATGATGTTTGATTATGTGGTATTACAGCCTGCCTTACTCTCATACGTCGAGAATTGCTCCTTGGTGAGGGAGAAAACGGGGGCTGCAACTGGTTCACCATACAGCGGGCATGGTGGCTCAAAATTTCTACCAACTGCCGAGCTTCTTTTCATGAAATCATATTTTAAATGTTTTTTTTTTTCAATCAACTTTGTTAGGGTTTATCACTTCTACTTTAAAATGCTTCTCATTCAATTAGCTCTCTCTTACACACACATAGGCCTACATAAAGACAGATGTGGTGGAGACAGAAAATCAATGGGAAAAATAATATGATGTGTATGTGACAAAATGATGCGATCTGATGTTTTCGTCCTAATAATAGATCCTTGTGGAAAAACAAAATAATGGGTTGAGGTGTACGTGGACGGACATGAGAGCATTCCATGCGAAAGTCTGACATCTAGTGGTGCAATACACACATGACTGCCTTGACAAAAAAATCAATCCATCTGTTGTCTATGCCCTCTTACCCGTGTGGGGTATGTGGAGTCGTGCTGGCCTGGATTCTGGGCGAAGGGCAGGGGGAAACCCTGGGAACATCGCAGGACAACACAGCAGCACACACGCATCCATGCACACACTCACTCCTGAGGGCAATTTAAAGAGATCTACGCAACTTGCATTTTGGAGGAAGCGGGCTTACCAGGAGAGAGCCAATGCATGCAGGATGAGAATATCTAGAGTTTAGAGCTTAGAAAGGCTTAATCTCTGTTAACTCCTGAATATTCTACCTTTGTAAAACATCCCTCTACTATATTAATAATTGCCTTTTTCTTTTCAAATTTAGTATTGGAACAACATGGAATCATTAGCAATAAAATAAACCACTTTGAAAACTCATCAGTTTTCTGATAACTAGACATGGATTGTAGCTCGTTACATTTACTCTGTTACAGTTACTTGAGTAACTTCTTTGGGGGGGAAAATATTTTATGAGTACTTTTACTGAATTGCATATTTTAATTTTGCTTTGGTAATATTAATGAGAAGTATTGCGACTCTGACTGGAGTAATTGTTTCGTATATTCTAGCCAACACAAGAAATTTCGATGAAGGAAGAAAAAACATATTTTAACAGAAAGTGCATAAGACACAGACATACCTACAGACTTCTTTTTTATACCTGTTTTGTTGTTTTAATGTTACTGTCCATCTAATGAGCCATTTGGAGATCAAAAAGACGCAGTAAACCCTATATATTGCCACTAGGAGAACATAACAAAGTTCTCCTAGTGGCAATATACACAGATTGTATGATTAGTTACTCAGTAGTTGAGGAGCCTTTTCACCAAATACTTTGTTACTTGAGTCATTTTTTTGTAAAGCTACTCTTTACTTTTACACAAGTTTAAAATATTATAAAGTAATGGTACTCTTACTTGAGTATTGGCAACACTGACCACATCTGCTGGCAGCTTGAATTAGAACATTTTATTTATTTGGAACGAATCTTAGATAAAACTATTTAGTGTTAGGGTCAGGGTTATTTCATTACCACAAAGTAAAACAATCGAATAACCAGCTGCAACTCTTCTATTTTATTATTTAAAGAAGTAGTAAATATTTCAAAACAACCTGCAACTTGTGTAATTTTCTGAGAAGGTGAAGAGATGTATTCATTTTAAATATTGCCTTTTTCGAGTTTGCATTGGATTGTTGGTTTTATTTGGATTGTTTTGTAACTTCAAGAAAGGAAGGGCTTGTAGAAATGAAATCTAATTTATGCAAGCTTATTCAGAAAACTGTGAACTTCATTTTTCAGTTTTCTGAAAGAATTTTGAGTCGCCTTGATAATCTCAACCGAGAGAGGGCGCTGTGTGCTCATAATACATCCAGGAATGCAATTCCAATCATTTTACTGACATCAAAATGAAACCAAATGTGTTTGAATCAATATTGCTTCAAATGCTAGAAATTCAGAGACAGATGTCTGATTTCTGATTGAAACACCTGCTGGTTTCAATCAGCCGATACAGGAAATGTTAAAATATTACTCTCTTTACAAGGCTTTGTGATGCATGCCATCATTCTATCTTTACTTTGTCAAAACACCAAAAAACAGGAGCCTGTTTTACTTTGTGATTCTGACGTCCCTGAAGTAGAGGACCAACTGAATGGCTTTCAGTTTATGGATGTTTGTTTCAGAGCCTGAATTACATGAAAGAATGTGAAGCATGCGAAGAATCTGAGAAAATCTGGCTGATATGTTTCAAAATCTATTGACTCCAAAACGTTTCAGTACAATCACAAATGCTACAGCGAAGTATAATGTTCTTTTTTTTTTTCAAAAGAGACGTGCCTTTCAGTGATTCTCATAAAATCACTGGACAAGAAAACTCTGGTTCAAGTCAATCAGCGTCATCACTAGGCTTCCTATTTGTCAACACCGTAGACGAGCGTAATTGCTGGTGTCACCTTAACCTGAGAATGCGCCCTTTGTTACAGGAGAGGGACTGAGCACTGACAAGCAAAGAGACACAGACGCCAGCATGCTGTGTGGGAGACAGCTTGAAAGAGCGCCAGCGTAAACACTCCCAGACCACATGTTCTCCCAGGGCAGAGGGGCTGGCCTTTCTCCAAGCACATCTGCACACAATCCCTCCGCTCTTAGCAGGCCAGCCAAGGAGACAGACCAGAGCAAAGGACGGGGTAGAAGTGATCGCAGACACTTCCACAACCTGCTCTTACTTTGATCTGAGCTTCAGCAATGGCCTAAAATACATACTGCAAACAAAGTATGGGGCATGCTGAGGATAAAACAGCAAGAAGTGACTCTCCTTAAGCGAGATTTTGAGTGTGATAGTGCAACTGAATTTGCATCACATCACCAGATCTCCATGCCTGGCATTGTCCGCTGCAACCATTAGCCCACTTGTAGATAAACCTTAAACAAATAGTTGAAGATGATGATTTTAAATAGCCTCAGACTGCCTCTGTGAAGCACATGCGTTTGTAATTTACAAAAATAGTCTGGTGCAGTTTTGAACAAAATCAGTATTGTATAATGCTCTAATGGAATACCTATTCATCTACTTTTCTGTCCTAAAAGGCTTCCCTGCTTGATGCCCTTTGATTTCCAAGCAATTAAGCATCTTTGCTTATTTGCTTGGAACTGAACACGCTATCCTTACAACACCTGAGGAATGCAGAGCATGCAACAGCAGCCTGTGCTCACACCCCCTCCCCCCCAACCCTGCTAACCCCACCTTAAATCTCTCTTATCTGTAGCCCTCCCCCATATAACCTAACACCCATCAAAAGAAAGAAAAAAAAATAGTCAATACAACAACCATTGCACAAGTCTTGGGTTTGTATGTTTTTCTTTTTAAATCTTTTGACTCATGGGTTCAGATGAAGCCTTTTCAAAGCCCCCAGCAGGTCACATTACTCCATGTTTTTGGTGAATTGCAAGTCCCTCCCCAAACTGGCCTTGAGCTCTGGAACTCACGTCCCATCTGGCTGAACACTTGCACACCATATCAATACAGTGCATCCATGGATTTAAACAGGGAGGGACAAACAACTCTATGTGACCTAAATGTAATCTCAGTAGGGTCCAACCTGAAACAAACAAACTCCACATCTGGTCAGTAAGAACAACACTAAGGCAGAATTGTGTTACTTGTATAAAAATGCAACCAGTGCATCGGAGTTTAAGGTTGTGTGCATGCATGCATATGTTGGGGGAGAGAAAGGCTGAAATTGTGAATTGCATGTATCTGGCTACCCAGTAGTGATGAAATCTGGATGAAATCTCTATTTGCACATATATTATAATAAGAGTGTGGGCTATACCCTTTGAATCTTGAAGTTGTGAATGCATTATGCAAATTCAGAGGCAAAAAGAACACAATTGCACGTGTTTTTCCTCATAGTTGTGGCTCAGTAGGGAGCACAGGACAAGCCATAAAATTGATGGGGTTTAGTTGCCAAGCAACCCCTGCCTAACAAAACTTTTTTTTTTTTTTATCGCAATGTACGAGCTGTCAAGAAACCATGATAATTGTTGAAAACAGAATAAAGGTGTGATCTTTTCTTATTTAACTTTAAAAATCACTTCAAGTGGAGTCAGATCTTGGAAACCAATGTCAGCTCAGATTTAATCTGACTTTGTTACAGCATTTCCATAGATAAACTTTTCGAAATGTACTCACATGCAAATTCAAAGCCACTGTAATTTTTTGGGGTGAATTATAGTGAAGGTTTTTTGTTAGTCCAACTGTCTGACCAGAGAAAATTATTGTGTTAATCATATATTAATTTAAAATGTTTTTTACCCTACTTATAATTAACTGAAACGATCCAATATAATAACCAATTTACTTTTGTTGGGAAAAACATGTATTCTAAACCAACAGACCAAAAACGTGCAAGCACACAAGCAGAAAATCAGCCAAAACAAAGCAATCAGACTTTACTTGTTTTATTATTTTATAGCACTAAAAAAGAGATGCTTACATCACAGACTAGAAGTGAAAAAAAAGTGAAAAACAGGGACTCTACCTGAGTCTTTTTGGTACAGCATATCATTAAAAAACGGGAAGATTCGCTGCTTATGATCTCAGAACACGCCCAGTGATCATCCGATGTCCTGCGTCACCTAAATCTGTATTTCCTTGGAGATGGAAGTGAGGAGATGACTCAGTTTCTGTATCTGTTACAAATACAATTCCCTTTGTGTGAAAGTATGAGAATGTAATGTGTGTAGAAGCGTATGTGCGCACTTGACCTTGGTAAGCGTCTCAACTCTAAAAAAAAAAAAAAAACTGAGTTCATAAAAACTATTTTAATCCCATTTTGCAGGTAAGCTTCTTTTGAATGAATGAATAAAATATGTCCCATTATGTTAAAAATGGTAGCAAGATAGTGTAGAAATTAGGTTTTATAAACAACAACAAAAAGATGGAAGGTGGCCGTTCAATATGATAATAAATTATACTCTCTAAAGCATCGAACTGAAACAAGAACATAATTAATAAAGTGTTATGTATGTTGAGCTTCCTTATATTTTAACTAGCTTTGAAGTTAAAACAGAAAAATACATTACAAGGTTGCTCTTTTTTTCTGAGCAACCTCAGCAAGTTACAAATCACAAATTTACACTATAGAAATATAGTGTGCTTTCTTCTTAGTGAAAAATAATATGGATCCAATTTTTAATTGTTCAATGTGCAGAAATATGTTCCTCATTTACATTAAACAGGAAACTAGCTGCTAATATTTTTTTTGCAAAGTTTTACTGGATTAGCAAGAATTGGTTGCCATTAACACTATTTTAACCATCACTTAAAAACAAATATTGCTTCTTTTTTTTTTTTTTTTACTCAATTCACACCAATGTAATGTAACCAGTGTTGACAGGAATAATAAAGATGGTCTTCCATATTCTAGCTCACCTGATGGACCAGCTGTTGGTTATCTTCATTGCAGCGGTTCTGCAGGACATTATTAGTGGGACACTTAAGTTATTTTAACTGAACAAGTGGACCAGATCAGCTTCCAGTTTGAAACTGAACCACAATGACCAACAAAGTCAGAATTCTGTCAGAAAAAGTTTGAGCTTCCCAAAAACCCTCGGAGTTCAATGTCCAATATGGCCGCTGTGTATGTTAAACTGATACAAACTACTTGTCAGCACATTTGATGGATTTTATCTTTTTAATCACATGGTACTTAAAAATAACTATTTAAAAACTTTTTATTTACCAAGTCTTTTGTGTGTGTGTGTTTCGCCAAATAGAATAGGATAAAATACGTTATTTTGACTTGGATGGTACAAAGTTAACTCAACAATCATCAGCCAAACCTTCCTGTTTCTCGACTTGCTCCTTCAGTGGGAGGGACATCATTGCCAGACTGCCCTGGTCTTTTTCACAAAGTGCTTCCTTGTGTTTCATATGTGCAACATGTTCCCTGTTTTAAGCTTTGAATTTTGATTTAAAACATGCAAAAAGGACAAAAGTGAAACAACAAACGAACGCAAAAGAATTCTGCTCAATAGCCTCGTGTGACGTCATCAGATGCATGCGCATATGTGAGCTTGCTGAAGGGAAAGTAGATTTTATCTCAATAAAAAAGAAAAAATACTGAAAACGGCGCAGAAAAAAACTAACATAAAACTGTGTGTGATGCGCTCCGTAGGTGGAAAAAACTACGGAGAGTGAGTTTGGTTGATTCTCAGAGAATCGTGCAGCCGGCAGCTTTAACGCATAAACATATAGGCTGCACGGTGCGTGCGCGTGCAGAGAGCGACTCCAATCACCGCCGCTGTTCTGGCTGAATTTCCCCCTGACTGACGTCAGCTGACTCTCCGCTCCTCCGGACACAGCGCCGCGCAGAAAGAAAAAAAAGAAAAAAAAAAAAAAAAAAAAATGCTGCTCTCGGTGCCGCCAAGGACAGGAATCAGCCCGTACGGCGGTTACTCCGGCAAAAGCCACAAGAAGGTAAAGAAGCAGCCTCAGACCACTTCTGTGTCCTTTCGACTGAAGTAAAGCAGCCGTCGATGCGGCGCGGTTCGGGCTCTGGCTCTGCACTTCAGAAATCCGCTCCGCTGTTTTTAAGCTGCAGTGTCCTTGAAATTAGACCACGTCGAAACTCTCTTGCCCGCCGTTGCAATGTTTAGTATCTGGGCTTTTCCTGTGCGTTTTGTGACAGTGTAGTAAAGCAGAGCGGACTCTGTTACATTGTTCCCTGTGGATTAGTTGAGCAGTTTGCTTTCGTTTGTTCCGACACGGTCCGCGGCTCTTCCTATTTCCAGCCTACGCAGAGAACAGTTTATGAAAGAAAAAGGAGCGCTGCGAAGCTTTTTTTTTATTTTCGACGTTAATGTGAACTGGACCGGAAACCCGCGTCCTATCGATTTGTTTACATTGGATTTTACACAAGTTTGTAAAGTTTTTTTTCCCCTCTCTCTCCCTCTCTCTTTCTCTCTGTCTTTTACGCGCTCTATGATGCCCCACCCCTTCAGAAACGATTACTGAGGGTTTGCGTCGCGCTATAAGCAGAGGAAAGCATAGGGAGACTGTTTCAAATTGCCATACTGTATGCACAGATTAGCTGAACGAGTACAGTGACTCCAACCTGGAACAGTGTGCGAGCTGTACTATTGATTGGCTTTGCTCTGTGAGATGAATAATTCATGAGGGTTAAATGATCTATTCTCAGCCGCTTCTACAGAACGAACCATATATTACACATGGAAACCTTCTGTGAAGGAAACGACTTAACCTATAAGATTATTTGCATCAATTAAAGTAGTATAAAACATTCTCCCTCTGGTAGCTTGTTGAAGCTCAAATTGAGCTTAATGGTAAAAACAAACTGTAAGAAATTGATTATATATATATATAAAATAAATTGCTATATATATATATGTATATATATATATATATTATATATATATATATATATATATATATATATATATATATATATATATATATATATATAGTAAATTATATATGTCTCAATCTTCAAAGCTGAATCTCTCTGGCAATATAAACATAAAAGTGCAGACAGCTTCTGCACTTGCTTAAGTGCAGAAGCTATCTCAGCTGCAAGTCTCATGATAGATCTTAGCGTTTATTAAATTGATACGTTCATTCATTCGTTCAACCCATATAAACAAATCAGCCGCCCTGCTCGAAATGGCACGTGACGAATAAGAGTGATGGTTGACTGAACCAACGTCTTCGATTCATTTCGAATCAAAATGCTGAGCAGGGTTTTGTTACCAAAAAAAAGCATTGCATCTGGTTTAAATGGAAAGATGCACTTGAATTTGATCAAAAGGTAAGCTGTTTGAATGGCGAATATTTATTTTCGTGGTGCTCTTTCCAAATTATATGAATGAGCACAAAAGGAAGTGCAGTGCCATAAGTAAGTCCTTGGAAAACATCCGAAACAGCTGAAATCAAATGCTTCCCACCATGCCTGTGTCATTCCCATCACTTGCTCACAGCTGGAAGAAATTTAGATTGCCCGGATTAATGACCTGGAATTCCTGGAATCCTGGATTCAGACAATATGTCCACTTCCACAGAGGCTTTCTTTTAAGTGACATTGCACCTTTTTTTTTCTTCTTTGGCTAAAGTCAAACTCAGAGGGAAGGCTTGTAAATCCAGTGTCAAGTGGTAACCCCTGATCTGTGTCGTTTGTAAAAGAGTGGAGAGAAGAGAGAGATTAAGAGATACAGCCCTTTTTTCTCTGCTTCCCATTAACATTAGGCCTTTTTTTCTTCATCCAGCTTGTTTCACAAAACACTGATTTCTGCTAAAAGCTGTTTTAAATGTTTAAGAGGAAGAATAGATTAAGATGTGAGCGTAAGAGCTTTAAGCTGCAGGACACTGAGGGTTCTCATTACTTTGTTTATCTGGTTCTTATGTTCTCTCATTGCTCTACTTTTAAGTATTTGAGATTTAAGGGAAAGGGATTCTACCTTTGATCTTTTCCACAGTGCCTTTAACCAGTCATATTGGCCATAAGAAATATCTCTGCATGATCCAATGTAACCTGGTTATATTCCTGAAATAACACACCACAATGCGGTTCTTAGAATTTGGTATTTAATAAATACTCCTAAACCAATTTCAGATATAATTTGATTTCATTAGAATGAAAATAATTCGATTTTGAAGTAATTCATTTTTTTTTCTATTTGTGCAGTAAAAAGATTTTGTCCTGCAAAATAGGGTTGTACCCAAAAAGAACATCGGTTAGAAGATAGAAATGCTGGAAAAATAATGGAGAATGACCACTTAGTGTAGGAGTAATTGTGAATTTTACTTTTATTTGTCATAAAGGATGATGATATTTTAAATATCATCATAAGACTAGTGTAGACAGAGTGTACTTTAGATTTTTAATAAATTACTAAACTTCTGACTGACACTATACAAACTAAAGCATGTTTATATTGCCAGAGAGATTCATCTTTGAAAAGTGAGACAAGTCTTTGCTATTAACTAGAAAGGATCCACATCCTGCTCCCTTTGCCCTTATTGTTCTGTTGGGCCGGAAAAGCCCTTGAGTCACCTGCGGTCTGGCATCACATTCGCCACCTCCAACTGTAATTATCTCATTAGTTTTCAGCTTTTGGCTGTACAAAGATACATTAAAATATTTTAATACATTAAAAACATTACAGGACTTGATGTTAGAATAAATCCACATCAATATGTCACTCTTAGACTTGCATGGCACATTTCACATTTCCTTCTTAAATGTCCTTGTGCTCTTTATGCATATTTGTTCAAAGATTGCACTATTACATTTTAAGTCACCTTTCATGGCTGGCAAAGCTCATTGAGCTGGAGCAGTTTGAGGGGGGGTAGATGCGTATCTGACTCCCTGCCATCATTTTCTCAAATGAGTTTTAGCAGAGCGGTTTTAATGAGACACTACCTTTTGACTTGGGTGCACATGAGAGGGATTAGCACTTTCCCCTAACAAGTTCAGATCCCAATTAGACAGGCCTCACCAGCCAAGCCGCGGCACTGGACTCTCCGGTCTCTCCCGTCATATCTTATCTCTCCAAGCTGTTGCAGGTGCATCCCTCCTGATAATTCTTTTCCTCCAGGAGAAGGCGAGGGAGGGCAGAGGAAGCAACTGTGATTGTGACTAAACAAACAGTGCACTGTTCCCACTTTAATAAGCATTAAAGATTCAGGTGAAAGTAAATGGACTCTGCGAGCCGCAGGAAGTTTTTTTACTTAAGGTGGAAAAAAGAGAGAGAGAAACTAAGGTTTTGAAAAGATGATGCATCTGTATTTGAGGAATACGAAAAAGGTTTGGACATTATTGATCAAATGTATTGATGACTGATTTACAATGTACTCACCAAGTTTTTATTGAATATCATGTATGGTTTACTCACATAGAACTGAACACAATTAGCTCTGTGAAGCTCTGTGTGCTGCATTTTACAGCATTGGTGATGGACCTTGTGGTAAACGCATCATGTCTTTTTCTAAGTCTTTTGAGAGACAGACTGATAAGTTTGAATTGCAGAGCATTTTTTTTAAATAAACAAATGTGTCAAAGATGCAGAAACAGTCACAGTCAGTGATGATTATGAGTCTGTAGAAAAGTTTTTGTTGTCTAAGAACTGATTGACAAATCTAAGCAAAACCATATCATTAGAAATTCACATACAATGTATTTGAACAAATCGCGTCTATATTTTTCCTAAATACTTTCTCATTGTTGGATTATGTCTTTTTCTAAGTCTTTTGAGAGACAGACTGATATCAATAATATCAAGATGTGTTATCCATATAGAATAGGAGGTAGCTGTATTTTATATAGTTTTATAGAGCTGATTCACCATAAATAGTTTTGTATTTTATCAGATTTACGGTTAGATAGAAAGATACAGTGCAATTATAGCAAATGCTATTTGAGATTATGTTCATTTCATCATCCTAGTCCTTTGCTGTAAACTTTATGACAAAAGACAATTCATTGAGAAGAAAGTGACTTTTCTGAGGAAAGTTGGATTTTGGTGAGAATTAACAGAGGCTTTTTAAAGTTGTTGGATTGCTGGGAGAAGTCAAATTTCTTTCAGTCAAAAAACGAAGGAGAAAAAAAATAATTGTGCACTCTTAACTTTGAAAATGAGCAAGCAGCTGCTCCACTTGTTCCATAGTGCAGGTGCCTTTGGTTTCTCCAAAACATTGACCGCATTGTCTTCAAGTCTCTTTGTAATGATTGGGTCATCATTTGTGCCAATATTTAGCTTCCTGGTTGATGTATTGCTTCAATATTTCCAGATAACATTCTTTCCTCATAATGTCATCCATGTAGTGAAGTGCACCAGTGTCTCCAGCTCAACAACACTGGTGCCAAAGCATGATGGTGCCTCCCATGTAATTCACAATTATGATGGTGTTCTCAAGCCGTCCTCTGTTCCTCCAAATTGTAGCAGTGCCCATAATAGCAGAGCACTTCAATTTAAACTTAAGTAGATCACAGTATGTCTCTAAGTTCTTTGTGCCTGAGAAATGTAACCAGATCGCTGTGTATTGGAGACTTCTGCCCAGGTCCCTTTTGAAAATGAAATCCAGATCTCAAGGAAATAAATAAATAAAGGAAATAAGAAATAAAAAAAATGCAACCTGTAGTTTGTCTTTTTCATGTAAATACCTATCTTTGGTTTTTAGAATGATCATTTGATGTCTTTTATAAACACATCTGATATTAAGGCTTAGTAACCAGGATACTAATCAGGAGTGACGAGGAGAAAAAGAAGAGATGTAAAAAAACGAAGGAGGAAAAAAAAGTTGTAGCAGATCACGTTCCAGAGAGGCTAAAGTGCTTGTTTAAAAAAAGAATGTCTTAAATTGCTTTTTAAAAGCAACAGTAGAGTCCATCGTTTGCAAATAGTTTGGTAGTTCATTCCACAGGCTTGGTCCAACAGCTTGGAAGGATCTGTCTCCTCTGGTGATATAGCGAGTATGAGTACATTTATGTTCACTCTCTGTTTATGTCCACATTAATGTAATGTGCCTAAAAGAGATGAAACAAAAGCATGGATCAGCAACTCGACGTTAAGGAATCGCTCCAAGTTTGCCAATGTTTTGCAAACTAGGAGAAGCAGGTCTTTAAAGTTATGTGGAGTATTTTTCTCGGAACTTGGCTTCATCAATAATAATATCTAGATTTTTCACATTAGTCTTTGAGGTCTTGCTAACATAGAAAAGTGATGTTTGGTCAAGGAGTGCAATTTGTGGACTTCAGACATCTTAAAGAAACAATAAGTTTATATATATTCTGCAAACAGGTGGTAAGAGACATCAGTAAAGTGTGGAATTATTCTACCCATGTGTTGCATTTTGATACAGTAGTTTTGCATTGAAATGCACCATCACAGTGATGCTTTTAATTTAAAACAATCAGTGTCAGCAGAGGACACTCTTATTACAAGACTTTTTTTTTTTCTTATTTAATAAATTTTATTATCACAGAAATAAAATTTACGTTCCATTGTCTCAAACTCTGAGACAATGGAACTTTGTGCAGTTTGGGCTTTAAAACAGTGTTACTTTCCAGTTTTATGTTAGCCAGACACCTTCTTTCTGTTTTTTAATTTTGTTTAAAGAATTTAAGTAACTTTGTACAACTAGCTTTAGTTGTTTTTAGATGTTTTTTAAAATTCCTGTCTTGTTTACATATTTCTCTCTTCTTATGTACCTTTCATTCTCTGGTCTATTTTCTGTTTAATTTTATGGTGTTGCTTTTTGGCCAATATTAAGTTTTTTTCATAGTGTTTATTTACAAAGAAAGATACATAATGCTTTTTAAATAACTTGCTTGGATATGACACGATATCAAAATGAATGTTTCCTCTGTGATTGCACAGTTTTTAATTGGACGGTAATTTCTTTTTCAGCAGACATATGTGGCCCCCTCCAACCATCAGATGGCTCCTCCAAGTCCCAACAGCAATAGCAACGGCAACAGCAACACAACTACCTTCAACAACGGCAGTGGCAACAGCAACAGTGGAGCAGAGCAGCTCAGCAAAACCAACCTTTACATCCGTGGCCTGCTTCCAGGAACCACAGACCAAGATCTGGTCAAACTCTGTCAGCCGTGAGTCACACAAAAACCAGTGCTCCCACACACCCAGTAAATCTTCCCTGGTTCCCGTGAGTGGGAACCAGGGAAGCAGAGTTGATTAGGTTAGATCTGAGTGATGAGTGATAGGCTGAATGATTGTAATGCCAACATCAGAAAATTCAATAGATGGAGGAGGTAGTTGCACTAAAAGTGCATTAATGCTTTACATTTTTTGCAATATAGTCTGATAAAAGTCGGACTCTATTGTGCAAAGTAAACATCGCATTCTGCGCTTTAGATAACACAATGTGGCTCGTCAGTGTGCCCATAAGGCTTGAAAAATGTCAAACATCAAACAACAGCATTATCCAATCCATCTGATATATTTGTTAGGGCTATGGTTAGAGAGCAGATCAAAATGCTGAGGGCTGAGATGAATGATCCGTCTTTACCTAATTGAATTCTGGAGCCTGGTGATGAGAACCAGGAGAGCAGGCAGGGAGAGAAATGGAGGGAAGAAAGCAGAGTGGAGAAAGATTGAAAAAAAGGAGGGTATAGAGGCAGGGCAAGGCCCGTTATTTTACAGCTGTCTGGAAGATATGGCTCACATGAGACTGCCCAACCCAACAGGAAACAGCAAACCCAGGGGAAAGGGAAAGACAAACAAGGGCAGTGGTGTGGGGGTAGTGGGTCGAGGACGTAAAGAATCGGAGGGGGAGGAGTGTCAGGTGGTGTTGCGTGGGGGTAGTTCTCATATTTCTGCTTTAACGGGGCAGATAAAGTCATTGCATGAAATTAGCCTCTCAGCAGAGCACATTATAATCAGTGTGATTCTCTCCTAAACTAAACTAGACAAAAGGAAGAGACTGTTTTCTATAGAAGTAGGAAAGAAATAATGCTGTATTAGCATATAACTTTGTTAGCTTTGGTTTATTCAGTAAATGTGCACACAGACGCTCTCAACACCCCCTACTGAACGTTGCTGTATGCTTAGATTTACTATGTACAAAGTTTATAATGAGAGGAGGGAATGTGGCTTGAATCTCCTCCTCTGGCCCCTGCAGTTTTCTCTCTGGGAGCTTTGCTGCAGCTCTGGTTCTTGACCTTTCTTGCCTTTGGTTGTTAGCAATGGATGGATGCTGAGTTGGACTGTGTAAGATGTGGTAAGGTCTCACACTTGAATAAATCTAGAGCCCTTTTTTCACACTAGAACATGAAGAGTGAGACCTTTGAGCGCAACTTAGTTAATTCCACTGTGTGAGCAGCGACTATGTAAGCAGAGCTCCCAGGCAGAAATGCAGCTTTGATGTAAAGTAGTTGAAACAGACCAATAATTATGGGATGTCCATACAGACCAGTTGCTGGTATCTTACATCTTGTGGAAATGCTGTGGAAATAACACACAAACAGTTATACAGAAATATATTTATGGTATGGTTGATTAAGGTAGAGTAGGTCTTCTTACCTTGGTGTTTACCAGAAGTATTGACACTGCATTGAATTAATTTCACCTTCATTTAATTTGCAGCTACAATGGTAGCTTATAGTCTTATGCATAGACAAAAAAGTGAAGCAGATTAAGGCAACTTTTAGTTAGGAAAGAATCAGTTAGCAGTAATCCACTGGATAGACTGGCAGATTACAATTTTAGCAGCTCATCACATAATCCTTTAAAAAAACTGTGAACAAGACTCTCTGTTGCCTAAATAAAACTCGTTGTTTAACATTGTTTAATATTGTTGGGTATAAATCGGATTCCATTGCAGGGGGCACTATGACCCAGCGGAGCATATAGGAGTTACACAGAGAGAAGCTGGTTAGTTGAATGGGAGCATGGCTCAGAGCCAGCATTGGACAGGACAGCCAAGGAGAGGCGTATCACATTACCCTGGATGCACAAGCCTGGAGAGATGGGAACTGATAGACCCTACTGCATGCAGAAGCATTTGCCTAAGTTAGCCTTTATCCCTTTTTCCTCTGCAGTTTCTGTATGCACCAAGCTGAGAAGATATGGATTGTTATTAAGGTGGTCTGTTGTGAAGTCTGTAAATGCAGCAGGGGACTTTTTTCAAACCACTTTTCACATCATGTTGAATTCCTTGTTGAAGTATGACTCTATCAATAATTCACAAGAGCTGGAAGGAAAAAAGATGGAAAATCTTTAATTCTCCCTTGCATGTTGAAACGCACAGGACATAATTCTCAGTTCGTTAAATTTACCCTCTGCCCTTAAAGATTTTCTGATGCATATAATTTATTATCAAGTTGCATACCTGCATACAGTGTCACTAATCATAAAGCATGAGTTAAATTTTAATTCATGAACAACACATGTATTGAACCTGGAAAAAATTCAGATTATCTCAGCAATGTTTCATAGTACTAAATTGTTAAATATAAATATCAGCCATTGTACCAGAATGAATAGTGAATTTAAACTTTGTCATTTTGCAGGTATGGAAAAATTGTGTCCACCAAAGCCATCCTGGACAAGACTACCAACAAATGCAAAGGTGAGACATGTCAAAAAGAAAAAAACATTCCTTTGTGAGCAATGCAGTTAGACTTAAAAGTATTCTCTCCACTGGCAGGTTTAGTTTTGAAATTCATTTCATTCGACCAAGAAATTTTACTTCTGATATGATGGTTCTCACCCAGACTTAAGTCAAGACTTAGCCTCTCAAAAAATGTTAAAATGCTTTCAGTCAGAGAAAAAAGCATGCATCCATGTCTATACAGTCATATCCTTACAAGGTCACTGGAGGGGGCAGTGCCTGTCTCCACTGGTCATTGGGTGACAGACACGGTACACATTGGACAGGTCGTTGGCCCATTAGAGGGCAACAAAGAGACACACTATACAAACAAAAACATAAACACAGACAGACACACACAGGCGTGTATTGGGGACTTTTAGAACATTCGAGTATGCTCTGAAAAATGAGGATGTGAAAAATGTTCTCATTTTTCTAAGTGTCCTGATATTCAAGGTATATTGTCATAAAAATGTCATGATGTGTCACAAAAACAAGCACATGCACACATACCCATACACATACCTGAGAGCAATTCAAACTTACCACTTACCGTAACATGTTTGTCCTTGGACTGTGGGAAGAAGTTCCAGAGAAAACTCACACATGCTCTTTCTAAAAAAATTAAATAATACAAAAAATTTAAGTATTTTATTTTTCACCAAACAACTGACAATGATTTTAAAAAAAATCCACAGCAATTCAGCCTATTTAGTTACGCAGTTTTATTTGACTGTTCTTAATAATTCAACTGACCTTTCTTGATGTAACTTATGGTCATCTTGCTCAAGAGGCATTATAACACCTCTATTTCTAGAAAATGTGTGGAAAGCCCAGCTGAACTTTATTGGAGCTGGTTTGGTCTGATTTAAATTTTTACAACTGAGGACGGTAGCAGTTGGTGCGGACAGAGTGGCTCCATGTCCAGGGTGCCATTTTATCAGCCTCCTGCTGATCACTCCTGAAAAAAATTTATCTGCCAGGTGTGCTAAATTTTCTATCGATTATAGAAATGTCCAGTCATTGAGGAGTGGGTGACCTTCTATGCTGTTCAGAGTGCAGACATTGTTGTGGTGTAGGATGATGATGATGAGGTTGGAATTTGATTATTAAAGTTTTGATTTTGTGCTATTTTTCTGTCTTTTACGAAACCTGAACTGCATTTGATCACCCCTGGGTGAAAATCTGTAATTACTTAATTCACCATTTTCATGAGACTTGCTACTGTGTTATTTATGAAGGCACAAAGAAGGCAATTTTCAAATAATTATTCTACACTGATTGGAGTTTACTTGAAATACACTTCATGAAATCTTTTGTTATATTTGAGAAATGTGTAAAATAAGAATGTTCACTGACTGAGTGGTTTATAAGTTCAACTCGTACTTATTCTTTGGCATCCATCGCACTTCACTGTATTCACTCACATATTATGTTTTGTGTTTTGATTTCTCCAGGCTATGGCTTTGTGGACTTTGACAGTCCAGCCTCAGCACAGAAGGCAGTGACAGCACTGAAGGCAGTTGGGGTACAGGCTCAAATGGCCAAGGTGAGAATCATAAAATATGCTCTCATTATAGCTTATGATAATATGCTGGGTTTATTTAATAATGAAACAGCTTGATTCATCCATAATTCTTTTTATGTAGCATTAGAACAATGCCTTAGAAAAAAAACATCTTTTGTATGTAGCTGATTTTCTTCTCCTTATTGTTTTTTTCATACAGTACCATTGATCATCAGCTGTATGCTGTTGGACAGAAGAGTTGTGCTAAAGTATAACAAGAGAAAAAATAAGTCTCTAAAAGGTTATTTTTTTAAGAACACAAAATTACAAAATAGTATAATTCTTTTAAATAAAAGTGTAATACATAAATCCAAAAGCTTTAATATAGTTAACAACATGCTAACTTATTTCCACTCCGTATCCCCTTCATAATTGTTAATTTATTCTGTGTCAGTGCCCATGTGTTTGCTGCATGCTGAGTCATTCGGGTGTGCTTCTAAATCTGTGTCATAATCCACCGAAGGATACCTGTTTCCACAGACAAGACCCCATGGACACATGCAGAGATACGTATGTGTTCACAGTGGTGACGGTGTATGGGGAGCAGGTCCCATGGGTTGCTCCCTGGACTCCCTTTACAAAGGAGTTGCCTGTTCTCCCCTGTGGCTTCTGACTCAGTGTCTGAGCAGCTTCTCAGTCAGCAAGGCATAGTGCCCAGCCACCCGCCCTGTCAACACACACAAACACACACACAGGCAGAGAACTTGACAATCATGCGTGCACTTCAGCAGCCTTGCCTCAACTGGATTATCACATGCACTCACAGTCACGCACAGCTGACAACACCCTGGGAAAGCTGATCTTACGTTAAGCCGGATCACTGACATTCATATCGCCTCTCGCTCACAAAATAGCTCAATTTCGCTCAAACCCTGCGTCTGAGTTTACAAGAAGGCTCATGCTTGCGTCAGCAAGCTCTCTGACTCGCTTACAGCTGAAGTTTACAGCAGGTTTTCTCTGTTCACACGGCCTACGTTACAGGAAGAGAGAGGAAGGTGAAGGAGAAGTCACCTTCCTCATAGGTCGCAGAGATTACACATGTATTATTCATAGCATGGAAATTAACTTGCACTGCATTAACTGACTTTTAATCACATTGCAGATGATAAATATGCATAACAGCCAGAGGTGATATAGAGTGAGCATCTTACAAGATACTGTAGGTCAAATAAAAATTTGTTTGAATAGCACTCAGTCACGCACAGTAAAACACAGAAGAAATTTGTTCGCAAAAACACAACAGTGTCATTTATGAGGTAACTTCATTTAGTTTTTTAATGATTTCAAATGCTGATTCAGGAGAGATAAATAATTCATGTTGATTTATAAAACATGTACATTAGGCAAGGAAACAGGATGTTTTTCTTCTGAGACATTCTGCTCTCACCACAAGAGAGAAAATCAGCATTTCAGACCACTGATGAAAGAAACTGTTTGAAATTTAAATGTCCTTTTTCATACCATAATTTACTTCACTATGTTTTCATTCATAGTGAAAACATAATATGATTTCAATATTATTTTGCACAATAATACACTTCACCTTTTTACTTCGTAAAGGCAATGTAAAATTTTATATATGGCATATACATTTTTGTGCTATTTATGGTCACAAAGAAGCAAACAGCAAAGTCTCCCTTATATGTTCACTTATTGATCATGTTGTGTCTTTGACTGTGGTCAGCAACAGGAGCAGGACCCCACCAACTTGTACATCTCTAACCTCCCGCTCTCCATGGATGAGTCAGAGCTGGAGAACATGCTGAAGCCCTTCAGTCAGGCCATTTCCACTCGTATCCTCCGCGACTCCAACGGGACCAGCCGAGGGGTGGGCTTTGCCAGGTAGAACCTTTCATCAGTCACATTTAGTCCTGATAAGGATGTGTGGAAAGACGCACAGTAAATTCATCTTTATTTAGAGATGCAAAATTTCATGAGACCAGGCACAGATTTTAAGGGCTTTTCAAAGAAAAGCAGGCCCACAGCATCACACTCATTCTTCTGTGATTCACAGTGGGAATGAAATGCACACGTTTATCCATTATTTCATGTCAGACAATTTGGGAAACTTTTAGTTCCTGCCTATAGCATTTTGATGGATTGCAGAATGTTGGAACCCACAGCAAGCGATTGATCAGAATCACACAGATAATCAGAGGTCAGCTTGTTTACTATTCTCCTGTGCAAAGTACATGTCATTGCTGGATGGAAAATCAGAAATTTTGTACTTGGTACACTTTTACCAGCTACTATCCATGCAATTTCCTTTGAGGAGCAGCAGTAAAGGAGAAGCATGTTTTTTTTTGTTGTTTCTTTTTAGAATGTGTGCTAATAAAGTGAGGGGAAGTCCATACGCTCTGTGATTGGACAGAATCTGAGTAGTGCGGAGGTGTGCATTCATAGACTGCATTAGCAAAGTAGTCCTAATAAGGCCCTTTTTTATAGACCCACATTAAGATTTTTATAAAGCTCTCATCTTTTCCAGAGCACATCGTTCCAATTAAATCCAGATAGGCTTAGAAAAACATCATATAAGTACATTTGTGGTGGTTAAAATTTTTTTGATTTGTCTGCATTGCTTCCAAGCAACCAGTCAGTATGCAGACAGCGTCCAATGTTTGCTATGGAGAACTGATGTTCCCAAGATCCCACTCTTTGCCGCAGCTCTCTGATAGTAACTTTGGAGATTTTTAGTTTACCCATCCTTACTATCCTTCTTAAGCCTTGTCACAAGATAAACATGTGATTGTTCATTCTTGTGCCTAAGAGAAATGAGCCTCTGTGTCATGTAACTTTGATGCACCAGAAAAACAGGAAGTCACGGATGTCATTGTCCTCAATACTGTGATCAGCTTAGGTAAAAATATATTTTAAATGGTCAAAAAGCAAGAATATAAATGATTATTACAACTGAATGTTATTCAATCCATTGAATAAACTAAGTTAAAATAAAAAAGTGATTTTAAAAAAATATAACATTTTCGAGTGATACCAGGCTTTTGCAATACACAAAAACATTATTTGAAATCCTTTTGCACATCTTTATGTAATGAGTAGGGGGTATGCAATAATTTGCATTACATGTGGTTATGGTTGAATAACATAAGCACTGAAGAAGAAAAAAAGCTTCAAGTGATCATCAGAGCTCCCTGGCTACCATTTCAAGTTGAAATGTTTTAATTACTTTTCAGGATGGAGTCAACTGAGAAATGTGAGGCCATCATCCAACATTTTAATGGAAAATATATCAAAACTCCTCATGGGGTTCCAGGTGAGTTTAGATTTTGCTACTTGCTTTGTCTTTTCTTTTCCTTTTTCTTTCTTTTTTTTTGAAACAAAAAACTAAATCCCATGTTGGTCAGGTTCAAAAATCAATGTAGCTCAATGCGTATAATGTTAGTGATGGTGACCAGGAGCTGGCATGATGATTCGTTATTAACTCCTGATTTAGCGCCGACAGAACCTTTGTTGTGTAAATTTGCTGACGGAGGCCAGAAGAAGCGTCAGAGTCAAGGCAAATATCTTCAGAACGGTCGTTCCTGGACAAGAGATTCGGAGTCTGTGAGTTTGTTTATGACCTTTAGCTAAAAAGACCTCGATAATAGTCCCGTTTGTGTATAAATACCTAATATGTTTTTTTTTTTTTGTACAGGGAGGAATGACTCTCACCTATGATCCCACCACTGCCCTACAGAACGGGTCAGTGCTGCAACCTCTGATCCATTGCATTTGAAGTTATAAAAACTGAGATTATCTGATGGTCTCTAAGTGCCGTGTGTGTCCTTGCGTAGGTTCTATTCCTCTCACTATGGCCTTGCACCTAATCGGATGATCGGACCAGCCTCCCTCTCCCCATACATGCCTTCCCCTGTGTCCACCTACCAGGTATGAGGATTATTTCTGCGAAAATATTGTTTAAATGTACTCTGTCAAAAGTACTCTGTCTAAAAAAAGAATTTGATCTGATACAATCTGACATCAACTGATTTTTAGTTCTTCCTTGTAGACCTCTAAAGGGACAAGGTCTCTCATATAAATCAAGAATGTTACAAACCTGTGTCGCTAACAGACATGAGAGGTATGAAGCGATCGGGTTGCTTCTAGTAATTGTTTGCTGCCAAGAATCTAAGAAGTCCCTGGAAAACAATCCTCCTTGTGGGTTGTCTGTGTTTCTTCCGTCATTACACCTCTGAATCAGTGACTCATTCACACATCTATAAGTCACTGTATTATGAAAACCGAACATCCGCTAGCACCGTGTTTCTTTGCACACACAAAAGTTGCCTCTTTGTGTGTATAATACACATTATATTTTAGATGCAAAGCCACTGCCCCATGCGGCCATATTGGTCAAAAAATGAGCTTCTTGAAATGGCTCAACTTACACAGTTTATAGCATAACACAGAATTCCTGACTTTTAGAAATATAAAGTGGGCTCTTGTTTCCACAGCAATTAAAATGTAATTGTATGGTACCTAAAGAGTGCTGGTAATCAGGTGTGCTTCATTAAATGGTCATCAACAAGTGTGGCCGGCCCTGTAAACGCAGGAGTTTTGGCAGTTTGTCAAAACTGCCAAAACTCTCGAGTGTTAGCGTTTGGCTACCACTCTTGAACAAACAAGATGAAAAGACATCAGGCCCCAGAAATCCAACATAAGGAGTTTTATGACAACATTTCTAAACTATTTAAGCCCATCACTCAACACTGGGAATGATTATTCAAACATGGAAACATTTCAGATCGCCTTTTAGACGTCTCATCAGTTGACGTCTCAACCGATTCCCCTCTTCAAGATAGTGTTTCTTAAACATTCTTGTGCTATATTTCAGATCAGAAAAGACTCTACAAATACAAAAAAAAAAGAAATAAAATGACACAAAAAGAAAGCATATTACTCTTAAATGAAAGATTTGTCTTTATACTTATGTCATCTGCCCTCTGTTCCCTGTTGCTGCAGTTACACAATCCGTCCTGGCTACATCATCAGTCATACATCATGCCTCCTACAGTGAGTTTCTCTAAACCACTCAGTCTGTCATTTTTGCAGCTAAGCACTATTCTGCCGTGTTCACATTTTGTGCCCCCACCTCCCAATGTTTTGTTTGAAAACATCCCTCCAGCTGTGTCTGTTGCACTCTTCCCCACAGGGAGCAGTCCTCGCGTCAGGAATGGAGCACTCCATGTCCATCCAGCCAACCTCCATGATGGGACCTCTGACACAGCAGCTCAGTCACCTTTCAATGGGCAGCAGTGGCACAGTAAGTCGATGTGGAGATGCCAACGGCGTTTACCTGATATAGCTCTGCTGAGCAGCTCTTTTCAAGTTTTTGTCTAAGAGTGGAAATAGGGATGACTAAACCCTCAAATCCATCAAATTTTCCAGCTTTCCAAAACCAGCAAACTAGGAAAGAAGTGAATATTTCTTTCACTGTATTACAGAAATATGTGCACTTCATTTCTTTGTGAACATGTTATTTTAAATGTATATATATATATATACATCTAACAGATGTAGATATCAGTTGTGTAATGCTAGACAGAAGGTAGGGAAATCTGGAAAAGGTTTATCAGGGTCACAGAAACAGAGATGATGCATGTGCAATTTCCATTTCTGTATGTTGAATTAGTCAGATACCACTTTTCAGCCAAGGCATTTAACAATGGCAAGTGGTTACCTCTCTTCTGCCTGTTTAAATGTTATTGACTCAAATAAGCACAAAATTAAATGATTAATTATTTTCCCCCCTCTGAGCAGCAAGAAAACTATTTTTTAAATCCTGCGGTGTAATCTGTAGATAATTACCCCGCTGCATTTTTACTATCAGTGTATGTTTGTTAGTAATAGAAAACTATTGAGCTCTTTCATGAGATCGATATCTCCACTTCCCTCCAGTATATGCCTGCGAATGCATCTATGCAGGGTCCTTACTTGCCCCAATACACTCAAGTGCCTGCCACCAACATCTCAGTGGAGGTAATGTCTACTTTCTCCAAGTTTAATGTTAAAATTCTGTGATAAACTTAAATCACTTATGGTTTTGAGCTCTGTTGTTTCTTCAAGGAAAGTGCCGTCCAACAGCCTGTTCCTATTGGTACCCCAACAGAACACACAGCGTACTCCTACCAGCATAACAAATAAAGAGGTTGGTTTGCATCTTTGCTTTCATTGTCTGTGCTGTTGTAGTAGAGGCTGTTTTTCAACGGCTGCTCTCTGTCTCAGATCTTTTCTTCTGGAGCCTGGAGTGACTGTCCAAGGAGCCAAAGTGCTGAAACCAGGCTTTGAGTCTTTCCACATAAGGCGTCAGAAACTTGGAGATCAGGCAGACATGGACTGTTCCACATAATGGACAAAAAAAAAAAAGAGAGAGAGACATTTTCCATGAACTTATATTTCAAACCAAACTGGAGAATAGTGGGTAAAACGGGACGCCCCGAACAAGAAGCGTCTATTTTGATAAGAAGTCCAACACACTACACACTTTCAAGGTTTTACATCCCGCATATGGATTTCCGATGTTACGCCAGTGACCTAGAAGGAACCCAGCAAAAAAATAATATGTTTTGTTTTGACATTTTGTAAAGTATGCTGAAATTCCTTCCCCTATTTGTCTGATATTCTCAGATGTCTAACTGCCTTTTTGTAAATTGTTTTTCCAGTTTTGGCTTTTCTTTTCTTTTTCTTTTTCTTTTTTAGTTCTGATAGGTGCAAATATTTGATTGAAGTACTTTTAAGCTGACAGCTCTTTTATTCTCTTGGACAGGTGGCAAGTTTACCAGTCAAAAAGCCCTTTTTAAGCTGGTGTGGCTCAAATTATTTATAGTCTCAACAAAGCTTCAGACAATCACACAAGACGAGTTCAAGATAGGGAAAAAACTTTGATGACAGATTTGTCTCTGGTGAATTCCTGTAAGAGAATGGCATAGATTTAAAGCATTCCAGATGCAGAGGCATGCAAAAACAACATTTTTTTTAAATTTCTTGTTGCATGCATGTAGCTCCACAGCCAAAGGACACGACTCACAAAAGTCATAAACTTCAAACCATCATGTTTAATTTATCTTCATGTAAGGATTCCTAAGACAGGCAGAAATGTGCTTTTCGTTCCTGCCTTTTTGAAGACTTCACTTTTGCATGACAATGTATGATCATTTATAAAGAATATTCACTCTGAGGTTTTCCACACAGTCCAATCCAAAGCTGGTAAACAGGGATCAAGGCACACATAGCTGCCTGTAAATAAGAGACACGTGCATTCAGACTTCCTTTGGGTTTCCTTTATCACCAATGAAGACTCGCCTCAGTTATTTTGCTCACGTCAGTCCAACTGCTCTGGAGTTTTTCTCACGTCCATTTTAGAAAAGATGAAGCCGAATTTCTCCAGAACCCCATGAAATGGATTCTAAGAAACAGGAATGAGATGCTTGCAATTAGAGTGGCTCTGATCTGTTTTATCTAAACAAAAAAACAACCAAAAAAGAACACTATTAAGGTGATTTTTTTGTTTGGGCCAGTATAAAGAAGCTTTAAATCTGTATTGGCCTTTGCTGTAAGTTTGCCTAATTTGGTTTTAACCTTTGTCGTTTGAAACATTTATTTAAAGGTTTTCTTTTTTGTGTATACTTTAAAAAAAAAGTTCCTGTCTTTCAGAGGCTTTGATTTTATTTTTGATAGGGTGTTGTGTTGAAAAGTAGATTGAAGAGATTTCCTTTTTTTTTTCCTTCTTCTTTTTCTTCAAATAGTGATTATTTGTATGTTGTTTGAGTTTCTCTATTGACGTAAAAAGGCTTTAATACGCTCAGAGACACTTTTCATTCCGTCTTGTGTCACACATGCTGGCACTTTGCAAGCCTGACTCCAGATCACTTGTCATGCCAGATTCAGATTGTTACACAGTTGAAACCAATGCAGTTGGGATCAGTGAGAAAAGAAAAAAAAAATCCTCAAAACCTCAACTTACCTCATTCTTCTCAAGCAATGTAGTCTTAGTACTGTGTGTAAGGTTTAAAGGCGGTCACCACCTATAGACTGCTCACAGCTGGTACTGTGTCCTCATCCTTTAGCCCATCTGTCCATTCTTCTGAAACTATGCCTGATGTCTGGTGATCTATGCAATTAATTTATTATCCGAGTAAATGCAATACTAAAAACACCCAAAAGACACCTCAGATTGTTTCACTTTTACGGCTTCACGTTTTCCTTTTTTTACACGCATTTTTGGGCTTATGCTCTTCAAAGTAGAGAAACTGAAGGTTTCTCTACTTTACTTCTCTATAAAGAGTGAAGTAATGGTTTCCCTGCCACTCTCCTTCCTGTTGCTGTGCACTGGAAGGAGAGTGCACAGCAACAGCCAGATGACCGCCGGTCATCTGGCTAAAAGAAGGCTACTTTTCCCCATACTGACGAAAAATACCAATTCAGACCAAGGTGTGGAAAACTAAAGAATGCCACCCCAATAAGCACTCCCAATCAGTGCTTATTTAAAGCTTTGAGCAGGATGGCTAAGCAGAAGCAGTTATATTATGTTATTTAAAAAAAAAAATTTAATTGCTTCAGTAATGTAATTTTACCATTGAATAATAGTACTTTCAGTTGAGGTTTTCATACCATGAGAATCTCATCTCTGATCCTGTCTGCAAATCTGGTCCAGTCACTGTTGGCTGAGTTGCAACATTAAAAGGGAACAATGTCAAATTAGAGGGTTTAAAAGAACTGCTGGAAATGTATGCAGTCTGATAAAACATGACAGGTGTAATTTTATATGCACATGACATCATTTGTGAATTCAATCCATGCAGTTTCACGGTTTTCCGTTGAGATATGTATTACAGTTTGTTGTAATACAAGATTTTGAACGTTTTCTTTGAAACAAGAAATCAATGTTCACTTAAAGAGACTGAATGACTCATTCAGAAATGCCTTAGATTTCACTCGCAGAGATTGGAAAATGCTACTCTGACTTACCAGGTTTCTTTTTCTGGGTTTGTTTTCATGCACTGCAGATGTTAGAATTGTTGTCTCAGACCCAAACATTGACGTAAAAATGTTGGCTTGAGTACATGTTCATGCTGCTACCAATTTGGGATTTCTGACTCCTACCTAAAGGTCACTCATTACACATGAGGTCAACTTGTAAACTTATTTTAATGTCCATGAATGCTTGTGTGCTGCATCACTTTCTCCTCAGTAAAGCTTGTGCCATGATGCAGGATTTTTGTTCTGCCGACACGAAGGGGAAAGCATCCCTAATTTGAAGTTGTTGCTTGGTTTGAGATTTTCAATAAATTGTTTTTCACTGTAGTTTGTGTTCAATCCTTCATAGGAGCATCCCAGTAAATTATTGGATCATTTAAAATGTGATTGCATTCAAAAAGTGAAACTTGTATCGAGACAAATTAAACAGTAGCGCATTCATCTTCATGAATATTGATGATCACGGAAAAAAACTCAAGTTTGTGACAGAAATCTCATCTTAACTAACTCGTGAGGAAAGATGACAGGGATTGCTTTTTTCAAGCATGTCTATGGAAGGAAAAGAAATAATAGTAAAAAAGTGCACAGCAACAAGAATAATCAGTTTTAAAGATTGCATAGTAACACACCACTACCCAGAGGTACCTCTGGTTTATTAGAGGCTTAACAAGCAATTTAACCACTGTAGATCATATCATGGATGTCTTACCTGGGTAATGGAGAAATGTGACTGTACCACTGCCCAGCAATTCATCTTTTCAGATGAAAGTAACTCGTGTATTAGTCTGGAGTGAAGAAACAATCTGTATTGCTTAAAGTTCAGAGCTAAGTTTCGAGGAGGTTGTTCTAAGACCTGGGTATAGCTGAAATCTTGGACCTAAACCCCTGCAGAAGAAGACGAGGCGACAATATAGATGAGCTACATCTACACTGATAACCCAAAAAACTAACAGTTGGGTCTTCATAAAATGTACGCGTTACCAAAACAAAATGTTAATATAGACCGGTTTGTTTGTAATAGGACACATATGAGCAGTAATTTACAAAAAAAAAACATCTTGGATAATTTATTTCTGAAACAGACTTCGGTTAAGACAGAATAAGAAATACATAAAAATGTTTATTGTTACATAGTGAGCTGTATATGGTTCAAGTATGTACAAAAATTCAAAATCCGTTGAATGACTCAAAATTCCGCTGCCTAACAAGAAGACTCAAATACATAAAATAGATTTTAATTTACAATCTTATCAAGAATAAGGAAATGGCAAAGTTTTATTACCCTGCTGTTTTAGACTGTAAATGCTCCATTACACCTGGATCACTGAAAGTAAGACTATTATAAATCATACTCTGAGGCCACATTGACCTTTGTGCATTTTAATTCCATCCACTCTTAGTACTAATGTCCATACTGCACAAGCCTGCAGCTGTCGATCACGTGACAAATAAGAAACAAGTGTCTTAAGTAACTAATCATAGATTAGTTTGCAGCCCTTTTTTATATTTTTAGCAAATTGTAGAATGGACATATTTTCAAGGTGAGGTCGGATTATGTAACATTCCGAGGAAGAAAGAAAACCTCAGAGTATGATTCACTCAAGAGCACATCACTACAAACGATGCAAAAATAGTTCTGACCCGGAATTACAACCAAATACAAAGTGTTTTAGCTGCTATTATGATGCGCCGCCGCTGCTGCATCTAGAGTCAAAAGAACAGAAGAAGAAGAAGAGTGGGAGGCAGTGATTTGTGCTCCAGCAACATCCGTCGGCCAACATGAGCTCAGGGGGCGGAGGGGCGAGGGTCTTGAGTGAAACAGCTGGTTTCTGCTCTGAGGAGCTGGTGTGCAAGTCTCAGTTGAACCTCATGAGGAATGGAGCTCAACCTTCGTCATGAGTCGACTGTAAGTGTCTGAACAGCAATCATGACATCACAACAACTTGTGGTTCATAATTTCCCAAACCATTCTCCTTCTGAAGTATGGCATGTGTTTCTGTTCAACAGAACAAGAAGAAATGCACATTGAGACCACTGTGACCAGGGTTTACTGATGTATTCCAATCAATGATGTCTGCGATTACCTGTGTGAATGTGATTGGCTTGTCTTTGGTAATGTAATCTGCGTATTTGCAAGTGAACATGCCACAGTCGCTGCCATTCATCTGCTGTGGGATCTCCTGGAAGCAGAGGTTGTGTTAACGAAATATGTTCCGTATTTGACTGGTTTTTTTTTTTTTTTTAAACGACAGGAAAACTTGAAACCCGTCGGCCATTTGACAGGTTATAATTCACACCTTTCATTAGTGCACACGGGCAGACATTATACACTTTACAAAGAGTTCATTGCAGAGGCAACTAAAATCAATCAGTAAAAAAAAAATCCTTTTTGAACATCATCTCATGGACACTGAACTAAATGTGTCTTTCTGCCTGGGAGCTGACGACGTGTTGAAGAGTTATGGACCGCACGCTTTTGAGCATTTGGTTCAGAAGCGTATTCTGAACCTTTGGTTGAAATGGCGTGTTTAATTCAAGTCTCCATTACAGAGCAGAGAAAAATAAATGTTGTGTTAATCCGTTATAGTCTAAACAAAGGAGCCGGCAGTTTATCTTTAAGAAATAAATAAAGGTGCAGAAGCTAATTAGACCGTATCATCCACAGTGCGCTACATAACCAATGCAGACACGTCTCTGCCGCTATGCAGAATTAAATTGAACTCATCCTGAGGTTTTAACAAATGGACGTTTTCCTCCGGCACCCAGAAGGAGGTCTTCACGCAGCAGCGCGGCGGACGTAACATCTGTCCAATTCGGGGAAGGAAACCACGCAAAAGAAAAAAGAAATCCTCGTAAAAGCGCGCCTAGACCGCACAGAATAAAATAGAGTTCAATTAATCAGTTTGGATCTGACAGATCCAACTGACTGACGAACTAGCGCAGATTTCTCTGCAGATGCGACCAGGGAGAATTTGTGAAGCTGTGCGTTCAAACTCCAGCGGGTTTAGTGCTTGTGATTTAAAGTGGAGTATTTAATTTCAGTTATTAGAAGTTATTGGGGCCACATTCAGTGGTTTTTATCTCAACGGAGGAAAAAGTTAGATGCGTTCATCAGCTTTATTTTCAACTTGGTGAATAGTAACTAAACCGCACAAAAATGCGGCCAAATAGCCCATGTTAATATGACTATAATTTGATGGGTAAAAATTGTACATGACCCATTTTTTTAAATGCTGTCGGTCAAAATGATGGAGAACTAAAAAAATCTAGCGCGACCTCTGCCTGTAAGCAAGGCAAACATGCCTGGGGAACATTTGATTAACTCAAAAAAAAAAAAAAAGGTTTACAAAGCATTCTTTAAAAAAAAAAAGAATATTTCAACAGTACCAAAAGCGCAGTTTTAAATTTTGTAAATATCAGAAAACTTTAATAATGTTTAATGTTATATAGACAAGTATTTATAACATGGATGTTTTTATGACAGTAACCTTTGTAGGTTAATTTCAGGCCCTAACATTGAAAAACCTAAAGCTAGAAAACATTTGACACACGAAAGCCTGAAACTTTCCAACAAGATGAGCGAACAAAGAGTTGAGCATTTAAACATGCTCACACCCCATCTGCTGCTTCTCCTGTATTTTTCTAAGTGATCTAATTTTTGATCATTTGAAGGAAAATACACTTCATGTAGGGTTTGAATTCCTAAATATAGCCCTGTTTGGTAAAATCATAAATACTGAGTGTTTTTTCCAAGATGGTTGCATAACTTAAAAAAGTCAGGCGTTTGACTCCAGTCAGTAGCCACATTTCCATTGACCATATAATTGAGCAGTTTGACTTGGAAAAAAATTCACCTAACGGAAACAAGAAAAAATAGAAAAATGTTTTGGCCATATCAAAAGTGGTTTATTTCGCAAAACTATCATGGAAACATTTATTTTGCATCACGCATGATCAACAGCTGGATGTTGTCACTGACGCAAACCATGAAGACGACGACGGGAAGTAGTTGGAGGATAATGGCTCGGCCTGCTTTTTGCTGACTAATCGCATGAACACACTTCACATGTGATTGTAATTGCTTTTCTTATTTAATGGAAAAAACACAATTCCAAAATTGCTTCTTCTTTTTTTTTTTTACGACAGTGGAATATTGACAAAGTTTATCACACGTTCGTAGTGGAAACGCAGTTATTGCCTGGCTCAGTCTGCACTACTGTGTCAAACAGACATGGCAGATGGAGCATCAGATTACTCCCTAATGAGGTCATTTATAAAAGGGTTCTATAGCTTTCCAATGCTGAAGTGGTTGAATGCATTGATAGATTGTAAATTAGTAGATGATGAATGAGGGTCTAGATGCCTTGTGAGTTTTATCAATCTGCAGTTGCAGAGGACAGGCAAGCAGGTGAAACTGGTGAAACTTCATTAAACGCCCCCGAAATAAAAACTCCTACCAGGTAATGTGTTTCAGCTGTTGAATGTTTTCTGGAGAGCAAGTTTGACCAATTGCTGCACGCAGATGTTGATTTGCAAACTTTAAATGGAAGCTCAAACTACTTACTTCCAACTAAATTTAACCCCATTCTAATTACATTTAATTGTGCTGATAATTTCTAAATACAAATAATATGATAAATCTCTGTAATTATTTAAAAGGTGTAGTAAATATTATTAGTTGCCTTACAATTGAACTGAGTTTTGTTGTTGATTGTTAACAAAACCTGCTACTGCCCTCTGCAGGCCACTTTGCAGATATATTCAAATGGAAATTTATGGAACAACAAACTTGTTTAAGCTAATGAAGATATAAGGAAACATGTAGCACTTATAAATACTGCGTTTTCTGTCAGACACCTCAATGCTTTTGGTGCTTTGATGTGTTGAAACTTACACTGGGCTTCTTGCTGTGTAGAGTCCAGCCTGAGGTATCAAGTTCTTTGCCTTTCTTGTCTCTACTTTCCTGTTGCAGGTAGTCACTGTGAACGCACACACGACACAAATACCTTAAGATCATCAATCAGGTCACATTGAAATTTATGCATAAATTTCATGAATGAACCGAAACGTGACAGGAACGTACAACAACATTTGGCAAGCTTGATCATTGCTTCCTCCCATAGAATCAAAGTAGAAAACAGACTTTTTGCGGAAATCCACCACCTACAAGAAGAGAGCAATGCATTTAGGTAAAAAAAAACCACTCTGAATAATGCAATTTACTGTCAATATGGCCTTCGTTTAGTTTTACCGAGAGGCACCAGTGCATTCCCAGATGAACAGGAACTAACAAGATGTCTTTCGCAAAGATGTCCATCTTTTTGGTC